GAGTGATAATACTTTGTCAGTAAAAATTGACGGTCATGTGTATACGTTTCATACTTGTACTTTATGGAGATAATAATAAGCTTATATTTATTATAGTTTATATTACAATAATATTATATATTGTATAATATATACAGTAATGTTATATATTGTATAATATATACAATAGTATTATACATTATATAATATATATACTATTACAAGTTTATATTATAATAATATTATAGTAGAGAAATAATAAGTTTATACTTACTATAGTTTATATTACAATAATATTATATATTGTATAATATATGTAGTAATATTATATATTATATAATATATATACTATTACAAGTTCATATTATAATAATATTATATTATAGTAGTTTATAATAATATTATAATAATATTATAGTAGAGAAATAATAAGTGTATACTTACTATAGTTTATAATATTACAATAATATTATATATTGTATAATATATACAGTAATATTATATATTGTATAATATATACAATTAATATTAATAATGTAATATACTATTACAAGTTCATATTATAATAATATTATAGTATGACAATATAATATTTACTATTATAATATTATAGTAATACAGTGAAGCAAAATTTTGTTTCCTTCACGAACAAACGAGAAATTGTAATAATAATAAATAATATAAATAATATAGATAATTTATAAATTTTTGACAAAGGAAAGACTATAATAACAATTAACACGAAAACTCGCTGCACATAAAAAGATATAACAGAAGACATTTAATTGTGACAATCCACTGAAATTAAATTCTATAATAACTCTGAAGCAACGAAAAATTCGAATCGAACCACGTCAGAAAATCGATCGATCGTTCTCGATAATGAAAATTCCACGGTATTATCGTACGGCCGTTATCCGTACGTAGGATCGTAGAGAAACCATTCTACAAAATGATGATTCTCTTTTCCATCGGGGATCGAGGGAGTAATCTTGATAATCGTGGTGTGTGTCATCTTGTCTATAGACGATTTTAAATGTCAAGGACGCGGCACAGTTCATATTTATTGCTACAGATAACTGGCTAATTGTTGCTACTCGACTCATGCCTCGGTTTTACCTTACAATTTGTTAATGACAAGAGACCCTCGAGGTGAAGTATCAAGGCTTAACCGACAAGTGCTACCGAACAGAGGCTGCCACGAGTGCAGCTGATAAAACGAAAACCTCTTCCTTCCGTGTTTGTGCACATGCTCGTTTTGACAAGTAAACGCGTGAACAGGGGGGGAGGGAAGTATTTTATAAATTCATCATTGGAAACAAAAAGAAATTGGCAATTTTGAGAGCACTGTTTGCAATTTTGGAATTTCTCTCATTTTATTTCATCAGCAGTCTCTGTTCGGAGAGTAAAGTATAATAAACTATAATACAAATTGCTATAGTCATCTGCGACTCTGTGCAACATTCAACTTGAAGGTTGGATTCAAATGAATATTGATATTTAAATTTAATAAATTGTTAATTGTTAATTACACCAATTCCTATTTAAGCTCTGTTTTAATCGTATTCATCGAAATATTCGAATTTCCATCTAATCTGCAACTTCTTAACTTTCAACTTTTAACTTTAGAACAATTGAACGAGCGGACCCGTGACAAATTTTCAAATATCGTAAACGATACGATTAATTTCAATTTTGACTAAGGAGCATTCAAGAATAGCCACATCTGATTCCTACGGTACAGATATAATTGCAGAATATTTCACAATTGGAGTTTATCGATCATACTCGACTTGAATTTTCCTGAAATTGAGAAATATCTCGAGTTGAAATGAAACGTGAAAAATTGTTATTTGGCAAATATTTTAACAACATTTATACAATTATATATACACGTTATATACAAGTAAATAATTTGAAAAATTACTCGTCACTATGGAAATATTACAAGTCCGTTTTGCTTGGTAAATCGAGATTGGAAATATGAAAATTGGAGGATCGCAACGGAGTTAAAACGATCGATTTGCACCTATTATTGAGATTCTTAGTTGACCCACAAACACGATACAGATATAATTGCAGAATATTTCACAATTGGAGTTTATCGATCATATTCGACTTGAATTTTCCTGAAATTGAGAAATATCTCGAGTTGAAATGAAACATGAAAAATTGTTATTTGGCAAATATTTTAATAACATTTATACAATTATATATACACGTTATATACAAGTAAATAATTTGAATAATTACTCGTCACTATGGAAATATTACAAATCCGTTTTGCTTGGTAAATCGAGATTGGAAATATGAAAATTGGAGGATCGCAACAGAGTTAAAACGATCGATTTACACCTATTATTGAGATTCTTAGTTGACCCACAAACACGATCGATAGGAACGATCGCGTCACGAGCTTTCTTTCGTTCGTTTTCTAGGACAGTGTAACGCACTTATCTGTCCATCGAGCACATGCACGACATATGGGCCGTAATCTCAACTTATCGTGATTGACGATAACGGATATTTTTTTTTCTTTTCGCAAGAACGAACGCGCCGTATCTGTGTTATTAATATTACGAGCAACATAACAAACCGCGTCGTTCGGCAACATTCTTGCACGAAATGAGTGGAGAGAAAAGAGCGGAGAGAGCTTTACGATCGGTCGAGTCGAATTTATACTTATTTGTCATACCTTTTAACATCATTATGGTAATTCTTTGCATTTGCTACAGCGAAGTTCATTTCTTTTCGAATTTGTTTGAAAACTACTAGTTTAAGTAAATGTTGAAAGTTGGGAGTTTGTGGAGAAAGTATGAGAATGATTGATAATTTGGGAAATATAAATTAAGACTGTAATATACCAGGTGAAGATAAGCGTGGCGATTGAATTGCGATAAGAATCTTCAAGAATCGTAGCTCGATTTTTCTATAACGATAGGATCTGTTTCGTTGAAAATTAAATTCTTCGAAAATTAAATTCAAAACGCTAATATTCTTTCAATTAATATCAATAACCAATATTATAAAATTTGGAGATATCTAAGAGGCAAAGTAGTTTTAGCTTTTTAGTTAATAAGAACAGTTCGATTAATTTCTAAATCATTTTCAATTTATGTATTTTTCCCCATATCTCGAGAGATTAAATTAAACTGATCATGATAATGATTTCAATCTTCGGACGTAAACTAGAATTTTATTTGCTTTTATTTGCTTTTATTTGCAAAAAAAAAAAGAAAAAAAAGAGAAAGACAGTTATTGTATCTTGTAATTGATTGCACTTTTTCGCTTTTAATCTAGATTAAACTTAAAGCTGTAATCTAAAAATTAATATTTGTTATAAATAGACTGTTCTATGCCACAGTAACTACCTAACATAAGATATCAGAGTGGATATAATAAATGAAATACGAGTAATGAGCAAATCGAATAAAATGTCTGGTAGTATCCTACAAAAATCTCAAAAAAAAAAATCATTAATCGGTATTCAAATTAGCTATTAATTAAGCTGTTATAATTGTCTTTCCTTGCTGATAATTGAACGAATTATAATTATTTGAATCAGCAGAGCTTTAACAGCTCAAAAGTCAAAATACAATCTGGAACTTGGCACATTACAATCTTGTGTTATACCACCTTACGAAACACTATTAATCTTTAATGTACTAACAAAAGAATAATATATTTAAGATTTGAAAATGATACCTGAATAATCCTATGTTAGAACTATTTCAATCGATGAAAATGTTGCTTGATTCAAATTAATAGTAATTGAAATTCAAAGGTTTGCAAGACTTAAAATATGTTCCAATATATTATGTTCAATTATTGGAAAATTTGAAAAAAAAAAAAAACTTTCGTTCTTCCACTCATGTTAATTTATGTAGTTGGAGTTATCAACGTAACTTCTAAACGATTTAAGTGATATAAAACACTCGATGCTGTACGCTTGGGTCACCCAGTATGCGTCATTTTAATGTTGTATCGCACATAATAAATAAATAAATAAATATATATATATATATATATATATATATATATATATATATATATATATATATATATATATATATATATATATATAACGCAGTTCAAAATCAACAAAAATCTATTATCAAATTCACGAAATTCTGAAACGCCATCGGTTATTTTTAATCCGCGAAATGACGAAAAATCCTACCATCAATCAAAACAACTAGAGGTTACACATAGTGGGCGATTATGTCATCGTAGAATCCGTGTTCACGCGTAACATGCGACGGATGTTTCGTAAACGCAGAGGCGCCGGATTAAATATATTCATAAATTAAAGTTAAATCGTACATACACATACACATACGTATATACGTTCTTGCGCGATAGCACAGTCGCAACAGTTGATAATCGACAGGGTATTTGCGTGTCAAAGATAAAAAAGTATAATTTGCAGATAATTCGCGAATTTTCACCCGTGAGACGATTGAAACGGAGAAACAAACGGACCATGGGAAAGAATGGTTTCTGATAAAATACAAAGTAGAATTAGTTTGGAGTTTTGGTGTATTGGTAAAAGAAATTTTTATCGAGAACGTGAATCTGAGTCTCATACATTTTTAACGGGCGATAATGTCAAAATATATTAACTTTGAAAATTAATTTTGACGGATCAAAGCAACTTTGGTTACATCTTGTTATCTCAAGGGAAAGATAATATATTTTAAAATATATTATCTTTCATATCTTCTTAGAGATTTCAAAAATATTACGATCCGTGTATACAATTGTTTCTTATTTTTTAGTGATAAAAATCTACTCTGCGACGAAAAGATTGAAAAGAAAATAGAAATTATCAACGTTTTATCAACGTAACTGCTATTGCAGTAATTATTTGTAAAGATTTATTGGAAAATAATATTTACAAGGGCAGAAATATAAAATACGTTCACGTAGGATTTAATAAATATTAAATTACGTACGTGGTAGGATAATAGTAAATTATATTTCAATTATATCTGCGCTCTTTTATTAAGAATTGACACTGTGCTCGAAAAATATAAAAATATTTCTCCAAAAAGTACAAAATATCTCTCTATAATTTCTTCGCAATAATTTTACACTTTTTTTTAAATTAATTATTTACGAAAGTTTTTATGAATAATTTTAAATCGCTCGTACAAGTATTACAAATTACCGCAGAATTCTTAAATATACTGTAAAATTTAAAAGGTGATATTGCTTGAGGATCCATAGTATTTTTATTTGAATTTTAAAATCGAACAAACACAGAACAATCCTCGAAGCTGAATTTCTTCGACATATTTATCATTAATCATCATTTTTGTCTCTCTCAATTTTAATAGTTCCTCGATAATTTCTGTCTTTAATTTCTGAATTTTTCAGATTTAATAGACATCGATTTTCGAAACTTCAGGGGCTACGGAATATTCTACACACTCCGTTTACATTTCACGCTCTGAAAACCGGAATTTCGTTTCTAACAATCATCATTCGATAACTTTTCTTTTCTTCGTTTCAAGAGTAATCTTTGATGTTTCGTGAATTACCAACTATTTTTATATTTTTGTGTACTTGCAAATTTCTTTCTTTCAAAAATAATCCTGTCGTGTTTAAAAATATCACCGCCTTTTAATATAGTTTTTGTTTATTTTACAAAAGTAAGTTTCAAAATTACTTTGTTAAAAGATGGTAATATTTGACCGTTTTCCCTTTCGATTTCATTTTTATAGCTTATCGTAAATGGAAAATTACAATCGCGATAAATGGTTACAGGAATTATCTGCAAAGCGAATAGTTCAGACACTTTTTGCTCAATGTGGCCAGAATCGCTCGACCATTATCTCCTATTATCTGCCAGAATTTTCTTTTTTTATCGTTTGTCGCGATACTCGATCGTCTCGAAGCCTTCGTAGCCATCACTCTGTTTCCTAACGATATTTTCATTTTTAAAAAAACTAAAAAAGCAGGAATTTTTTAAAGTTACGCAGCTCAGAATAGATTAAACAAGGTAAGAATTCTCGAGTTAATTTCTATAAAAGAAAATGAGACAAGTTTCCTTTTGTTCAGGGAATTCAACGTTTAAAAGAATCGGGATATCTTTCACTTTAAGTTTCTTTTTATAGCAGGGCAGAGAAATTTCGAATAGTAATCAAATGATTAAATTGATAAAATAGAATTGCTGAAATTTTTTTAATTTTGACAACACTCACGATAATTATGCAGAATCAATTGTTAACTTGACGAATTAGAGTTGTTGAAATTTTGAATACTGGTTTGACGTTCATTCAGTACTTACGTATAAGTAATTATCTTTTACAAATAATTATTAATCTTGAATTATTCAATTGACAAGTTAGAATTATTGAAATTTCGTTAATATCGGTAGCACTCGAAATAATTTTCTCTAATCGTCAGTTCCCCTAATTAATCCCTCTAATTATCAATTTGATAAATTTGAATCGCTGAAATTTCAAGCACTAAAGTTGAGTAAAAAAATTTCTACTAGCAAATATTAGCAAATGCAAATTCTTAAATATTGTACAACTGGATAGGTTGTTGAAATTTCAAAAACTAATCTAAATATTTAGATTTAAGCAACCAAGAATTCGTTTTTATCAATAATGTGATCGCTGAAAAAAAAAGAAAGAAATAAGGAAATCAAAAAAAAAAAAAAGAATCGTAGAATTTAAGATGTAATGAGGATTCTTCCTTTCAGTTTTCTTTTTCTACTGTTCCTGTTTTGAAGGAACGTTGAACGAGAGAACAGTGCTTCCATCTAGGCTGAGTTTCCAAACTAATAAGGCTTACTTGCTGTCTCTGTAACGTCCATATTTCTTTTTGTTATTCTTCTTTTCTGGAAAATTTGCAGAGTTTACTCTTGTACGCGCAGCAGTTTCTGTTGATGTGCAAGCTTCTGATGATGTGCCAGGAATTGACTGTGGAGCCTGTTTTTCGATGACTGCTTCAGTCATTACTTCTGGTGTAACTTCTAATATCACTTCTGGTGTAACTTCTAATGTCACTTCTGGTGTAACTTCTGATGTCACTTCTGGCGTAACTTCTGATGTCACTTCTGGTGTAACTTCTGATGTCACTTTTGGTGTAACTTCTGATTTAACTTCTGGTGTAACTTCTGATGTCACTTCTGGTGTAATTTTTAGTGTTACTTCTGATTCAACTTCTGGTGTAATTTCTGATGTCACTTCTGGTGTAACTTCTGATGTCACTTCTGGTGTAACTTTTGGTGTTACTTCTGATTCAACTTCTGGTGTAATTTCTGATGTCACTTCTGGTGTAATTTTTGATGTCACTTCTGGTGTAACTTCTGATGTCACTTTTGGTGTAACTTTTGATGTCACTTCTGGTGTAACTTCTGGTGTCATTCCTGAGTTAACTTCTGGTATTACTTCTGATTCAACTTCTGATGTCGCTTCTGGTGTAACTTCTGGTGTAACTTCTGATGTCGCTTCTGGTGTAACTTCTGGTGTAACTTTTGATGTCGCTTCTGGTGTAACTTCTGGTGTTACTTCTGATTCAACTTCTGATGTCTCTTCTAGTATAACTTCTGGTGTAACTTTTGATGTTATTTCTGGTGTAATTTCTGATGTAATTTCTGGTGTTACTTCTGGTGTCATTCCTGAGTTAACTTCTGGTGTTACTTCTGTTTTAACTTCTCCTGCCTTGGGTTTTGGCACAATTTTTACTACAATTGTTGGTATTTTCCACTCTCCCTCTAGTGTCGAATCTAGTAACAATACTCAGAGTGAAAATGTGGATGAAAATTTATAATTTCAATATAAAATATAATTCATGTGTAGTTTTGAATGTAAATGTTCATATGTTCAATGTCAAATGTTCATAGATGTTAAATGTCAAAACATTTATCCTTTTGTTCGATTGTAAGAGATTCTAATTCTGATTATTGCTTTTCTAACTTAACTTGACAATTTATTAAAAGTTCGAGTTAAAATTTAACTAAAAATGAATTGATGGTTGCTACAAATAATATATTACACGATAAGGCAATGACAAGAATCGTTATAAAAAATAATTTGCAACATGTAGGAGTATGAACATACACGCAATAGATATTTATACATACAGCCTGAAAAAAAATTGATAAAAATACATATCACGATGTATTTATAGACTTAAAAAACATGAGATGTTAAAGAAACATTGAAAACAAGAATTAAAATGCAAGTAAAATAAAATAGTTCAAATACCTTTGTCCGTTTCATCCGTGGAATTTATTTGGCCATTGATGGAATCTTCATCTACCGAATAGGATGTTTCTTGTGGTTCTAAAAAGACGAAAAATTCTTTGTCTGACTTCCCAGGAAAATGATCGATCAAATTAAATCATCATATCACACGTTACTGACATTGAATACGAGACTGAAGAGGACAAAACAAATGGCACTTAACTTGTTAAACGGAATTTCTTGGGATTTCTTCTTTAAATACGAACACAGAGTGAAAAACTTACGGGAGAAGCTTAACTTAATGCAAGCTGCGACTACTTGTGAATTCTCCTTTGCAAACCTTTTTGTAAAGAAAAATTATCGACTGAAATGAGTTTCAAACGGTAATTTCAAAGAGAAATTTTCTTCGCGGTTAATTCGAAAAATTAACCCTTCGTACGATTAATACGAAAAATTAACAATCGTATGAAGCCTCTATAAGTCGAATTTTTTTTGTCAACTTTGTTACGCTAGAAATAATCAATGTAATCGAAATGATCACTTCATAATTATATTCGGAGAAATCTTACAGATTTGCAGATTCCTCGCACTCCAATTGATCTGTTACGATTTTAATCTCTTGCGCTGGAATGACGTGCCACGCACGTCGAGAATTTGTTTGTTCCAAAATTGTATGTAATATTTCCTCGGTTTTAAGTATGTTTAAGTAAAACAAAATAGGCAGGAAAAAATGGTAAATTTATTACTTCTCAATAATTTTTATCCAGTGACATCGTACCGACGAGTTCAATGGAGAAAGAAAGCGACGAATTATTGTCTACGGTTTGGTCACTCGTTATGGTCCGCAATCGGTTACCAGTTGCAAGTAGTTAAACTAGTATCAGTGTTGCGCTTCAATTCTGGTGTAAAACCTGCTTTAGTTGATGAAACGATAAAGCTCCACCACAATTCGAAGCTCCTTCCTTTCTCTCGTGATTCAAATCATTGAAATTTGATCGTACGAGGATTTAGTTTTAGATCTCTCGCGTTTTCGGCAAGTTCTACACGAGAAACGATTCCCATCTGACACTCGGACGCCACAGATTGTTGAAAAATGATCCACGAAACATTTCATTGTGATTCAGCACGAAATGCATCTTTATTCTAATGAATTGTCAAGTTATTCGGTGAAAAATTAGTCGGAATCCTTGACTCATCGGCCGGAAGAGTGGTTCACCGAGACGATTGGCACGGTGAACCACCCGGGCAACCGATGTCCCCGTTAAATATCGTGTCAGTCTTCGTCGAATTCCATTGCCGACAAATACACGGACTCACCCGAACTGTCCACTTCCTGTTCCATGTTTTTCTTCGCCTTCTCGACGTTCTTCGAACTCGAACCCTGCAACTTTTCACGAAAACATCGCCGTGTTAAACGATCGATCAAAGAAAAATGCGAGAGGAGATCGACTGTAGGATATGCAATATTTACAAGGTGATTCGAGCGATGGAAAAGTTGCTTTTCAAGTGAAAAAACACCAAACAAATATATATATATATATATATCACTGCGTCGACCTGCGCATCGACAAATCGTTTTTTTTTTTTAAATATGGAAGCCGATAATTAAAAAGTTAAACTAGAAACCGATATTTAGAGGAAAAGGAAAAGATTGTACAACATATTTAAAAATTATCGAGATTCAGAAACAAAATAGATTAGAATAAGTATACAATCCGATTCTAATTCTACACGCGACTTCACACAACTGGACTAGAAGTGTGATTTGTCAAATTGTTTTTACATCAACGTCAAGCACGAGATACAGAGCGATTACAGGACTATTATTTTTATATATTACGTTTACCACATTTCTAATAGTGTACACTGGCCGATTCAGTTTCTCATCTTCGATCTTCTCTCTGCTCTCGATCAATGCTCTAGCCTCCCGCCGAAGTTTCTTCAATTCTGCTAGAGACACATCTTCCTCCCCGTTTTCGCTGCTCTCCGTGCTGCTTGTGGTATAATCGACAGGCTGAAAATTCACCAAACATGTCCGACCAAACGTCAAGCCAGAAAATGTCCTCTTTCGCTAAGAATTGCAGAAAATTATCAGAAACAATTGACATCGTTGTTGTTTCCGTCTCGAAATACCGTTTTTTCGAAAAAATGTGCTCTCAAATCTATCGTTTTTCACATTGTTTCGGGGGCAATAACCCTCGATCAACTATACACCGTTCTTTTTTTTTTTTTTTTTTTTTTTTTTTTTT